CCCCCTCAACTTTACGAGATGATTTGTGGTCATTATTTGGCAGCCACGCAATGCTAGATTTCGCAATAAAAGCTGAATTGTAGGCTCTCATACCGTGCATTTTCGCATGTATATACGAAACTCAACTTTATCCTGCAGATAAATATGGATTGTCGTCAAAATCTTATTTCCCTCCATAAAACGGTATTGTTGTACAATATTTAGAGATATTTCGCAAATGAAAGTCTGACTCAAGTACACTAGCATAGATAAATATAAAAGCAATAAGATAGGATAAATTGGTGCAAAACTACAGTTCAAGGAAGTGGGAGGTGAGATTTGGCACATTTGGATTCGTATTACTACTTCCTCTCTTCACTAGTGGCAGAGCATATTCACCTGCAATTCAAAGTTTCCTTTGAAGTGCAAGGAACTTTATTTTTCGTTAAGATCCGATGGAACAATGTGATATGTGGGAAAGCAATCGCTTCGGGGTAAAATAAACATAGAAATATCCGTTTGATCATTGATTCCGTCGATGGGGCAGGAGGATTTCTTGTGAGTTCTCACGTGCAGTTGGCAACCTCGCAAACGATGTTTCAATTAAATTCCCTTAAGATATGGATTAACGTTCTTTGATGCCTTAATTGGCTTGCCTCATGACTTGTACTTCTAATTATTCTAATGTAATTACAGGACAAAGGAGCCGAGTTTTAAAATTTCTTGTTGACACTAGGGCACAAAGTTGAGGACAATGTCTCGGAAAGAAGGATGGATTAGTTTGAATGTAAATTTGACTGGATTATCCAAAGTCAAACCAAACGGGTCTTTGGTGTGAACATAATTTCAAATGTTGCCACTGGAAGTGAATGGTTGGGATAAATAATTTTTTATAACTTCTGAAGTAACCACAATGACTGTATGCCATAGGATATCGTTTAAGCATCGATCGTAACAGATTGTTGAGGCTCTTTGCTGAAAGCTTTATCTCAATCTAATCAACGATCTTTAGGTCAATAATATAATGTGGGAATTTTAGTTTCTAAACTTTAATTAAAATGTATTTTTTTGGCTTACAAAGTGTAAATTCAGGACACTATAAATGCTCGGATTTAGTATTTGGGATTACTACAAAAGGTAACTCGTTTCCAAAAATGTCCTTCAAAAGCGGGAATTAATAATAGAACTAAAGTTCCGTTATTGCAGACTATAATAAGAAATCATTCTATACAGTGCTCTTACAATTTTGTAAATTTAAAAATTGTGTAAATTTTATGGATCAATAAAAACTTCTTTATAATTTAATTCTCTCGCGTAGAATCACCCACTATTTTATCTTTGGTACAAATAAATTTGTTCGATGAATGGAAATCGCAATTAAATTCAACAGTTGGAGATTTGTTTTCATTTTTTGGGACCGATTTGAAATGTCTTTCGCAATTTCTGAACGCGTAACTAAAAGACCACTTCAATCTCTGGTGCAGTAATGTTCAACGAAATGTTGGCCAATGATGCTCCTGCGCTATCGGGGAATGAATCATAAACATCCAACAAAATTAAGGAAATAAATACTTATGTATTTCAAATAAAATTCTGTCTGGGTTAAGTTAAGAACACAAAGTAAACCAGAATATTCATTTACATATCAAAATGGAAAGTTGTTTTATGATTTAATTATGTAGTTTGAATGAAATGAGGAACCCTCTTATACGTATTTCGCGCTTTATAAAAATTTAATGTTTTTAAGGGGAATGTCTTAGGTCAAGTTTAACAGCTTTTTACTCTGTTAACTATTTCAAGGTTATTTAAGAAAAGTATTTTTAATTATAAATAAAGAAAGGTTTATGGTGCGACTACATGGTTGAGCTTTTTGTTTAAACCGGCCATCTCCGGCAAAGTTGCATGTAAACATGAAATTTAAGGTCAATCAAAATGCCTTAAAATATCATGAGATGTTGAACTCTGCAGATTTTTTCTCTTTTGTCCTAAACAATCTTATTTGTGATTTATTTTCCACTTTAGAATTCACGAAGCATCTTGTAGTACTATTTCACTTATACTGAATTCTACCAAGAAATGAAAAAATGTTAGAGATCTTTCCTAATGAAGCCAACTTCAGTGAAATTCTGAAATACTGCCCAATTTCGTTTACCCAATGAACATGAATATCTATTAAGCTGTCTAAAATTAGGTGGGAAACTTTACTAAATAAGGACACTTAAAACTTATTTACAATAGAAATTTTTCTCATTTTACAAGGTGATTCATAATACTTCATCAACTGTTGAAAGTAAAGTGCACTTGACATCTTGTGGGTTTAGCAAGAAGTTCACACTAACACATTATAAACTGATACTTCATATATATTTATGGAGACGGATGGCAGTTGTATTGATACAGAAAAGTGATGTAATAAGCAGAAACTTTTTAATTTGATTGACCTGATATAGCTAGAATATCCAAAAGACGTAAATCGATACGTCGAATCAGTTCTAGCTATAATAGTTGAAATCTACGCTGTCTACGAATATTAGCGAAAGGGTTATTGCCTTCGCATTATGAAGCGATTGCTATTGAATAGATTAAGCGCTAAAAATGGACTTTTAAGGACCACGTGAAGTCCGCCAAATTAAAGCACTATAAAGAGTATTAATAGTGGAGAAGCCAAATGTCACTATTATGTGTAACACAATCCACCCACGTTTTTCGTCAGAATTAAGAAAATAATTATTTCTCTGTATTTAATTGCACCATTAATTTAATTCATTAAACCTGAGTAAACATAACTTACAAAACTCTGATATGTCAAATTCATTTTAATTCTCTTCCTTACTGTGATGTTTTGACACCCCTGAGTATCATAAATAATAGTTTGCCTTTTCATTCTTAGAAAGACAATTATCCGTACTCGTAATGGCGAGTAAAATTACCAAAACTCGAGTATAGGAAACACTGGAAAAAACATTAAATTTGAAGAAAACTTTCTATATTTGGCAAATACTCTACAACCAGTAAACATGGATCAAAAGAAATTAAACACTTTGCCACCTTGACGTTTTTGGCACCTTTTGAACGGCTCGTCAATCGTTTTCAGTTGCTTTACGCAAAGTGCCTATTAGTTTATTAATTAAATAATTTCAAGGTAAAAAGCAAATAGTATTGGATGGCATTACGTGCAAATACACATTCTATTCTTTTATCTCAATAATTGAAATCCATAATGGAGTAATCAAGTTATTCTCCATGTAAATAAGGGCCTGAGTTGGAATCAACTAATTTGGCAAATCTAAAAAAATTGAAGATCATTGTAATATCAGGTTTTTCCCCCTACTCTTAAACCACTTTCATATGCAACACAAATTAGAATATCCCACTTTTAACTCTAAACCCTGGTTTGGCATTATTTTCAATGTTTGAATACCATAGTCTCTTCCTTGTCGGTCTAAAAAACTAATATATTATTCCAGTAAGGAATTAAATTTGTTTATCCTATCAACTGAGAGTGTCCTCGTTTGCCCACGCTTAAAACTCACTCGCCGTTTGCCACCTTGTCGTGTTCTGTCCTGTCCGTTGAATTTGTCCAAGCATGACCAAGCTTTAGGGGAAGCCAGACAATTCATTACTTGTTGTAGTCACAAAATTGCCAAAGCCTCAATTCAATGAATATTCGGAGGTAGTATTGAAATGGTTGTGGGTGAGAGATAAGAAATAGAGATAAGGCAATGGGTGTAGCTAAATAAGGAGAGATGCGGCTGTTTTTTTTTCCTCTGGTGTTTGAAAAGAAAATTATTCAATACTTTAATTGACTCTGATTTTGCATACGCGGTGAATTATTCCCCACAAACTTAAAAGTGACTTGCAATTTAGTAGCCAACCATGTTCAATAGATGGACACAGAAGGGATATCGGTGTAACCCCCCCCCCCCAAGTACTTCTGTTCACATGGGGAAAAAGATGTTAAAAATACTAAAAGTCGGATTTATGATGAAATCGGCTTACTCTTTTTTCCCCGAAACTCCGAAATGAACTATCTAAATAGCGTCTCTAGAATGGTAAAAATATCATTCCTATATGAGACTTACCTGTCCAACTAGTTGGCGATTTTGCCATGATGGAAGGTTGTAAAGCGTTTTAGACAGGCCATTAGGAGTAAATACCAACTGTGTACATCGTAAGGTTGGTTGTGTTGAATGCCGTTTTGACAAAGATTTGGCACTGTGTAGTTAGTTAGAAACTAACGGATGAGGTCAGGTAAAAGTGCTTGTACAGTTCAGAGACTTCAGCATCTCAAATGAAAGTAAAACTGTTTAGTGATTAATTTTCTGTAAATCCAATCTATCCAAGTATACTTTATAGTTATTCTATCACACTACTGCTAGTCAGTTTCAAAGAAAAAAATAGAGTAAACTTTTCAACTTAAATTACAACACAACTAGCCAATGCATACAAGTAGCCAGTTTCGTAAAATACAAGCATTAACAATTAGAGTTCGTTTATATATCTTAGTCACTTGTCAAACAGATTCATTTAACCTAGGCTGCTAAAACGCCTATCAAAGTCCTTCTGGAATGTAAAAAAGTTTAATTAGGCGAAATTGCAGTTACGTTAAAGCTTTATAATTATCATCACAAAGCAGCACACGATTCAAGAATATTATTGGCTAGTTCAGTGGCCAATGAAAAGATGGTTTTAAACACAAAAAGATTACATTCACACCGCCTCGCACGGCGCAAAATCAAACGACATACTTATTACGGATTTATTATGAATGGTCCCTCTCAGAGACCCGTGGATCCTTCTCCTATGTCGGACAATCAAGCGCTTATGATCAACAGAGCAATAAATGCTTTAAATATGACACAGGACAAGGTGCAATTAATTTTATTTAATCACACTTAAGGAAACTGCTCGATTTTAAAGCTTTTTTCTCTATTCTTCTGTAGATGGTGCAAATTTGTAGGATCATATTAATAGTACTTTTTACAACAAATATTATTGGAAATTTATCAGTACTTTTTGCTATGTGTGGAACCGGCAGGAAAAAGAGGATGAGGTTTTTCATTTTGAATCTGGCCATAACAGGTAGGTTCGCATATAGTGGTCTCCTTCAGTTTTATTATATTTATTGTTTCATTTTTGCGAATGCATTTCTACGAAGATGGAAAATAGTTTGATATGCTAGAACGAATATGCTTTTTCGTCTTCCTGAAAACGTTTGTTAATAATTGCAGTTGGTATGAGAACTGCACTTTAGGGAGAAATTACGCCAACGAAATTGTTATATCAGCCTTTAATTAACTCTGTATGCTGCTCTCGTTTTGTCCCTGAAGCAATCATAATTGCTATGGTGCCATCGCTTCATGAAAACACAAACACACCCCCCCCCCCCTCCTCCCAAATGCTAATAATGAATCGCTTTCATATTTGATTCCTAAAAACTTTAACAAAGCAATTGCTCTTTATACACAAATAGCCGATTGTTTCATTCATAACTAGTTTAACCCGCCTTATTACGAAGGACTTTGAAAAATATTTTAAAAGTAGAAACTTCATTGAATGCCTGATTCCTCAAGTGCATATTATTCCACCTCTAACACGACAATGTGTGCATTCATTTACTCCTTCTAGATATTTTTGTTGCAATTGGAGCTATATTGCCGGAATTAATATTGTACATTGTGAAAAATTTTTACGCACCAGAATTTGTGTGCCGAATGGTGAAATATATGCAAGTAAGTTAGCCTTATGTTAAAATTTAGCTTAATTATTTTAGAATCTCTTTATGTTGTCCTTGACTAAAAAATCTTTTAAGAATATTTTTTCAATGTTGATAATGTTGCTTTGTATGTAAATTTGCTAAAATGTATAAACTGATCGATTACTTTGCATCTCAATTTGTTTTAATGCCCAGTTTAATTGCTGCCTTAATGTCACCCATTATTTCAAGATCAAAGACCTGCCTTTATCTGCATTATATAATCCCGCAACTTCATATAATAATAGAACAGGGTAAGTAAACGAACTCGGTCTAATTTTAAAAATGTGGTCATTTCTGTTTGCAGCAACTAAAGGTAGGATCTTCTCGCGGGTTCTTCGCTCTCGTGTGATCGAAAAAAACACACAATAAGGACTTATTACTACCTGTTATGCATGCTTATTAAGAGTTTCTTTATAAGCAAATGGGTACACTTTCATTGATAGTGCTTGGCCAACAATATTTACAAATTTTTGAGACAGGAGATCACCCAACTCTATCCCCACGATCACGATCATAAACGAAGATTCTCCATGGCACCATCAATACTGACTTTTTATAAGAGAAAATCGCTAACAACATATTATTCGTAATTTAAATAAACGTTCTGGTTTTTTAACTTATTTATGTATAGAACTCAAAACAGCACAGTAATCAATTTTCGAATTTAGAAATATGTGTTCCTAATTCAGTACAACACAGGCTTAGGATGCACTAATTAATGAAGCTAACTTTTATTCTCTTTTAGTATTTAAGTGTTCATTTTTTCATACTTTTGAGCTTAGTTTAATCATAATAAAATCCAATGAAGTAATTGTATTTAAGTTAGGCTGCTTTTGATACAAAATTTTTTTGGATGAATTTAACTTATATTTTGATAATATGCATCAAATTCATTGACAAATTAAAAGGTTAGAATCACTTCAAATTAATGACTTTCAAAGCTGTTTAATTTTGGTTATCATGAGGTATAGTGAACTAGTGGTTAAAAATAGTGGCAATATCAATAAATTTGGATATCTGGGGTTAACTCTAAAAGGAAACTCATATTTTATCTCCGACCTTGTTTAAAGGAATCTCCTAGGTGATTAACTACCAGCGCCACTGGATATGCGTGGATATATGTCTGTCTTACAACTCCTAAATTGTCCCACGCGCACGTTGATCACTGCATGAACAGTACTCATAAAGGTTTACTAAATTTGCATTTGCTAGTGATATCGATTTTTTGTGTTTTCCTTTATTTTTTAAGCCACTTATTTATAAACTCAAGAAATCCCCTATCATTAACTTAAAATAATAATTTTGCTTTGTGAGGGAGAAACTAACGAACACGAAAGAGACGTTTTCCAATTTTATCGTTTTAGGGGACGTCGATTTACGCGAGTTCTTTTGCTCTAATTTTGTTGAGTTTTGATCGAGCAGAAGTGGTCATTAATCCCATGCGATCGACAAAAAAGGTTTGCTTTGGTGGTAGGTTTGATTTCTACATAATTACTTCCATTTTATAAAAGATCACCTTTTCTTTTAATGTTTAGAAATATTATAATTGTGGCTTTTGAAACTTTGTTTGCATCGCGGATATGTGATTTATAGTTTACTGAAATATTTGCTATCATATACCTAAATTTGGGATATTTAGACTATTTTTTGCCCAATAATTAGAAAGACGTGTTATAGATTTCATACAATAATAATAATAATAGTAAATAGTTATTAAGGTCTATAAGTAAATTTTTGCAAAATTTAATTTAAGGCAATTGAACATATATTGAATATTTTGTGGAAAAGTTATATATTGGACTTAGTTAAGTTAAATATCGAGGGTTTCTTGTTATTAAATTTGCATACACTACTTAATATCAAGAAATATATATTTCACTACATCTTTAAGTGGTGATTGTTGAAGGCAAACAGAATATTGCCTTCTAAAAAGGCATCTTGAACAGCACTTCTTTCATTTATCTACTTTACTAATCATGTAATTTAAATTTCTGAAAAGGAAATACGCCATATATTGCATGTATTGCGAAGAGTGATTATAGGTTTGTTGAATTTGCGACCAATATTATTCGCCGGACTTACTGCTATCCAATTTCAGTTGTCCTGGGGAATAAATATCTTATATAAGGAAATTTTATGAAAGATCCCTATTCTTTAAATTTTTTAAACGTCTTATAATATTTTCTTAACACCCTTAAGAATTCAAAAAAATATCTTGCTGTCAAAAATATTTAAATGGCCCAGCGTTTTATATACAGCCTTAAATACCCAAACGATTAAATTTAACTTTTAAAGGCTCTATGCATCCGCAGTTTTGTTTTTAAATTTCATGTTGACAAATGAAGGTGCATAGATGTAATTGACACTTATAGACATTAAGTTACATAAATCTATTAATAAATCATAAATATGCTTATTTTGTTCAGGTAAAATTATATTTTTAGAAAATGTTGTTGCAATATATATCATATATGCAAATATGAGATACATATCCACCTGGTTGTAAGCAAAACCGAGGTTAAACTTTACGCAATATTGATTAGTGTACTTTAGCTGCGTGCCATTATTATGCATCATTCCGACCTGTCGTAAGCTATTTATACTCAAAATCATCACAGTATGCAGAATATAAGAACGCAGGGCGATATTTGAATTTGAACAGAATACCTCCGAGTTTAAGCTGAGTATTAGTGCTTCCATTTATTTTCCATATTGCAACTCACCAGAGTTCCGTCAAAGTCAGCGTAAATTAATACTTATTAATAATTTATGATTTTCAGTCCCTTAAAACAAAATTATCCCTTCTATTTCTTTCAATTTTAGTAATGCATCGGAAAATGCTGGTCATCTGCAGTTGGGCAGCTGCAGGCATTTTCGGATTGCCAAGTCCAATTTTGGCTCGAATTGTAAACCAAACATGTGTTTATGATTTTACACGTGTCACACCAAAAGTGAGTAACACCACTATTTAAGTAATACTCTCACTAAGGCACAATAATGTCATGCAAAGCTAATCTGACTTACTATGGACTTGGTGGGAATTTCTTATTTATATTCTGGCTGTTTATTAATATAAACAGTATTGGAATTGAATTTCCAAGCTGTTTAGAATATATTTTTATTCTAGTTCAATTTTATCTTTCACTCATGATATAATCATTACGATTTTTGACCTTCTGTTATAATTTAAAATGAGCGAGATTTGTTATGCTCAATGATGAAAATTAATTCTACCAGAATTCATGTTGATTTCGCCTTATTGCGTTTGATTCTTCTGTATTTTATTTGTCATTAAATATTTTATTTAAGATTTATGTGATTAGAGAATTTAGTTGGATGGCGCTTTTAGGGAATTTTAAAGTGAACTGATGTCTGTAGAAAGTATGCCATTAATAAATCATTTTTTCTCTCAAACGAGATCAATTTTTCTAAATAAGTTCTTTTTTTCATTAAATAGAATAATTATCCGAGTTAGTTTCCAAAACTAAGTATTTTTATGCATAAAAGCGGTCAAGCAATTTGATTGTTAATTTCTAACCCCTTTTAACTCCATGAGCGCGCGAATGGTCACCCTAGGGCTGCGAGCCCCCTTTTCAAACTTCAATCGTTGTCACCTCAATGGCACCTGTTAACAAGAAACTGGGTCTGAAATATGAATATTTATTAAACCAGTAACGAAACTTAACATTTCGCTGCTATTTATAATGTCTAGTATCGATCTCATCACATAAATTACAATTTCTTCAATCGCGTATAAACAAAGTTCTAGTGTACATCGGCTTTTAAAGTTTGATTAAGAGCGTTAATAAGAGCCATGATAACGAAAAATAGACAAAGGACTTAGCTAGAAATGAGAAGGGATGGGCGAACCATTTCCCAGTGCCTATACACCAATTCCTCAAATAGGCTAGAGGCAGAGATAATAAAGTTGGGAAAGCAATTTTCCCAGCTATGTAATTGTAAATATAAAAATTCAAAGAGAATCTTGCATAGTTCCGGTTTAACCTAATACATTATTCAAGATATACTTTACGAATTACTCTTCGATGCTAATTTTGAATAGATTTTATAAGTTTTTTGTTAAAGTTAAGGACAAATCTACTTTAGTTTAGCTTTTACTTTTTAGTTATTTGATATTGGACGGAAATGAAAGCGTAATTGTAAATATCTCATTATCCTCTTTAACGCAGGAGGTTAAAATATGATCGAACGCAATGTATATCTTGATTTTGGTAACCGATTGTAGGTGATTTGTGTGTCTTGGGTGAATATGCCTTTAAAAATTCGCATCGTTTTATACAATCCAGTCGAAGTTCGCCGAAAGGAAATTTCACACTTCCGAATGAAACGGTAAACAATGGTTTACTGCTTCTAGAATTCTGTAGTGTTCAAACATAAAATTTGCTGAAAAATATTAAAATATATGTAAATTCTTTTCATCTTTCTATTTCAGAGAGTGTTCGACTTCGTCTCATTAATTGTAAATTTTAATTTAATTCAAAACTAGCGTTATAAAACCCTTAAGATTGAATATATTTCTGCTAGTCGACACCCTTACCATTAAACCCCAAATGAAAGGCAGTTATGGTAGTTTTTTAAAAGTGTTTTGCCCTTTTTATATATAATTTAAAAGAAGTTGGTTTTTTAATAGAATTTGCAGTCAATGTTAATTAGATGGAGTTGGTACTTGAGGAAACAAATGGCTTAGATTATACCAATAAAGGAAACGATTGTTGGACATAAATATGAAGCATTCTTTTATTTGTCAAGAAACCGTGTGTCATAACCGATTCATCGTCAAGGAGATGTCTGCTTTTCAATTCATTAACAATAGACAGTAGAATGCCTATATGTCAATTTCCTATTCCTTTACACTTTAATGAAGCAACCATCAAAGACACTAGATAAGCTAAAATTTGACTTATCCATATTCAAATAAATATTGCTAGCAAATGTCGAGCGGATTGTGTATGAAATAAGGTAATTTATATTCTTATGTGTAACCGCGTACAATTTCTCTCATAGGCCTACATTGTAAGTGTGTCCGTGACAGCGTTCTTCTTACCAGCCCTCTTTATTGCCGTCTGTCATGTCATTATGGTGGTGCGGATATGGCAAGCCGGTGTTACTACCGATAAAGATTCGATAGTTCAAACCGACAAGCCGGCATCGAAACTCCGTCGAGTCGTGACGCATATGTTCCATGATCCTCAAACCCAACAGACTAATAGTAATTCGGAAAGCAAAACGATTTCTCAAAGCACCAAATTTGTCCCCCTCTTGTCTTCAACCGGTTGTATTCCACGGGCGAGAATAAAGACGGTGAAAATGACACTTGTTATAGTTTCAGGTTCGAAATAAACTATTTTATTTACACTCTTTAGTATTTAATCAGATCTACATGCATTTTCAGTTACCTCCACAAATAAAATTCATTTTGAAATAACTACTTCATACATTGCGTTATTTGATCCAAACATATTGAACTGTTTTTCTGATTTTTATTATTATTTAAACGTTTATGTGTTGTGCATATTCTTAGAGAATGTATATTAACCTTGTTAGGAATGTAGCCATCTTAACAGTTATGATTGCAGAAATAGAAAATGGGCTCTTAGATGACAACGGCTCGTAGTAATAAACAAAATTGATAAGAGAAATTTATTTGAACTTTGGGCAAAACAACAACTTGAGATATTGTGAATGAGTTGCAAACCTATGGTGTCTATCTGCCGTTAACGTTAGTTATTTGATTGATTTCCTATTTACATTGGACGTCAAGTAGCATTTCTAATTGCTATTAAATAAATTTGGAAATTTGAGGTACAAAAACGTGAAAATTTAGCTGAAGGACTTTAATGGAGAAAAAGACGGATGTCAAGACGGACAACTGTAGTCACAAGTTTTCAATTAATCTAATTACTTTACTTTTATTAATAGATTTAAAACTATAATTTTTGTAAATAACTTCAAATGCTTTCCTAAATTTTACTTCCCGTTTACTTTAACTTGTGATTGCGTTTCCTTTTAGTTTATATAATATGCTGCTGTCCGTTTGTTATATACAACATTCTCACAACCTATAAAATTATTGGAAGACACACGCCCAAACTTTATGCTATTTCTCCGCTAATTCAAGTAAGTGTTTTCAATTTGGCAAATCAAAGTAGACTGACTCTTTTATCTATTTAAATTATCACTATTTATATGTTAAAGAAAAATCAGGAAAAATTTTAACACAAAATTATTTTAGGCGTTAATTGGTGATTGAATTTCGTATTTTTAAAAGAAAAAAACATTTTATTAGTATTATAAGAAATGTTGTAAATTTAGATTATCCCAGTATGACTGCGTTCAATGCAAAATGCATATTGAAATGCGATGTTTAATTTAGTTGAGCAGACTTAAATTAAGTTGTTTGACTAATTATTGTTAAGATGCAAGCGCCAGTCATGTCTTTTCGTTGATATTTCTATGGCATCGTGTCTGTTTCCATGTGTACACAACAAATTGTCTAAGGCTGTCTGGATTAGGTCTTATCTATTTGCCAGGTGTTGATTAGCATTTCTATCACATGCATATCAACTTTAAGATCAAAATAGTTTATTTTTGAACATATAGTAATTTTATATTTGTATTTATATGACAAAAAAGGAGCAAAGATTGAGTGAAGTATAATTTATACCGGTATTCTGACTGCGTGTAACATAAATATCAGCACAAAACGAGCACAAACTCTCACAAATTAGTTGAATTATTTTTTTGTCACTCATATTGTTTGTATAAATTTAAAAAATACATACAATAGTTAGGTGAAATTTTCATATTCTACTAAGGTTACCTTGATGAAGATATAAAATCATATGAGAGTTCGTATCTGAGAGTACGTTTAATTGCATTATAATAAATAAAATGTCACCAACATTAATAATGTTAATTTTGATACGGTTGCAACATAGTTAAATTCGACATGAACAAAAAGACTTATTGATAACTTGAAATATCTCCAACAATGTATTGAAGCTTTACATATTTAAACAAAAGCCTAAATTTATAAACAAGTTAGCAAGTAAGGTATTCTGACCAGTTAGTAAATGATAATTTTAAGGAGATCAAATAGGATCAGGGACATTTGATTTCCAACAAAATTTTCATCATTTCAATAGGTTGAATTCATTCCAATAACTTTTCCTATGTAGCGAGATTTTAACAAAATCCAATAATTTTAACCTCTTATGTTACCATTAGAAATAACTCTTTGCTTTGAAATCTCTCAGATGAGAGATGTGTTATAAAAACCTTTCACATTTTTTTCTTCAATTAAAAATAACAAATTAATATTTAGCGAACTATTATAGCGTGAAAATATTAAGATAAAAAATACGGAGTAAGTGTATTTCATTTCCAAATAAATGCCAAACTTGCATAAAAGCGTTTATCTAACATTTATATTTTGAAAACAAGCAGGTTCTAAAGTCTATTTAAATGTGTAAACTTGCAAGCATATCAATTGCCTATTATCCTTTAACAGAAGTAAAATGTAGGAAATTTATTCTTTTCGTGAAGCTTATAATTTATAACTTTTGCAATTGATCAACATTTTCAACAAAATTCTTTAAATAATTCATAGTAGTAAAAATATGAACATAATACAATCAATGCATTTGTCGCAAAAGTAATTAATACTAAGAGAAAAAGATGCCGTTTAGGGTAGGATGAAACAAAAGAAAACTCAAAGAAAGTCAGAAACTTTGACTTTCCAAAAGTGGCTGACGGTATTATGCAACTAAATAGGAAAAATTATTGTTGTTGAATAATAATTTCTTTGTCAATGCATAGCTCTAAAATATTACAAAAAATACATATTTGTGCTAATCATATTAAATGTCCACTTAAATTGGCTAGAATATATTGATTATTTAAGAATGATCAGAGAATTAATAAAGAGATTAAATTTAATCGAATTGATAACTGCGAATATTGAATATTTTTTCTAGCCATTAGCGTCAATTAATTCCTCTGTGAACCCACTGATCTTCTGGATATTCAGTGCTCATACGATTATTACGGAGCGCCGAAAGAACCGTCAAAGGTGTGTACGTTCAAAAAAAATACTTTTATTTAAGATAATATTACCATTTATTGCATTTAAAATCATGAATAAAAATATTGATTATTTTTCAAGAACACAAGTTCTTCATTATTTCTGAAATTATTGAAATTACCTGATTGTTCTGATACATTTTGTAAGAGGAAGACTAAATCAAGAAAATTAGCAATCGGAATATTTTTTAATAGATTATTTGATGTAACGTCAATGTAGTTACTTTGAAATAATCTTAAATTTGTAGGGAACTAGGTATTCAATTTGGTACTCAGAAAATAGTCTTTATTTTAGGCATTTAAGTTTTCAATGCACGCTCAACTTTTTTATAAATTACATATGTTTGATAATTTTAAAATTCTACATACTTTTCATTCAATACACCTATTAGAGTATGTGTATATTCGATTTATTTACTCATATAGCAGATTTACTTAAATTAACTTTGCTAAATTAATTAATCTATTTTAGTTTTTGAGTTAAACAATATTTGTAGCACGGTTTAGTTGTAATATTTGTCTCATAGGTATTACATCAATATCGAAATATGAATACATTATTTAAGCATTTTTACATTATGACATTAATGTAAAAAGCGTTAGATAACTTTTCTTTTACAATGGGAAAATTGAATGTATTAAATGGCTGCGATCCGATGCTTTGGTCAAAATATCTCAATTAATGATTAGTGATATCTGATTCCAAAGTAATCAGTAGTCACATATTTTAAAACAGATATTTATTTACGTCTAAGCCCTTTAAAATTGTATAACTATCATAAAAGTGGTGCGTTTACATCCTCATAACAGTTAAATTTGTTGAATCACTTCTCTTTCTCTCTCTCTCTCTCTCTGTTTATAGAATGACAAGATTTCAAGTACAATAGAAACAGTTGTTATTTTACGTCGATAAACGTTTAAAAACACTAAGTTATTGGGTGCATAACTATATTACTACCTTTCAGTAAATTGGCATTTAAATGGAAGGAAAGAATAGATGACGATGCTTTTCTATTGAGACTTTTGCGAATAAATTTATTTAATTCACTTAAACTATTTTAGATCCGATGTAGTCTCTTAAAATAACCTTTTCCATCGAGGATCGATTTCAATAAATTATAAATTTTGCAACCAAATATATCGTTTACCGCTTATCTTTCTTTAAAATATGCAACCCAAGCAGTAAGGGCAAGGTTAGACAGAAGTTTTATTCTCATGGGATATTTAAATATTCAAAGAAGGGTTTGGAGCCTTTCGAAGTCAACGCAAAATTATGAAGAAATGAGGTACTGCAATAAATTCCAAACTCGATAAATTTCTTCAGAATTATTATTCTCATTGTGACTTGTGCCCTCTAAGAGCAAGTTTCAAATTTGAATTCTATGAATTTTATTTTAGAATAGTAAAACAAAGATTTACAATATTTTATGCTTAGGATGCATTTCAATTTTGCTGAGTGTTTAAACACATAAATTTTCGTCCCTCCGTTTATCAACAGCAATTAATCTGCGGTGCTATTTTTTTCGATTTGGTTTCGTGATATTTTACAAAATGACAACTCCCAAATTTAATTTCATTTGAGAATTTCATTTTCTTAAGTGAATCTCGCCTTAAACAACCTACATTATGAGATGGAGTCTCAGACTAATAGTTTTAAACTACGATAGGTTGGAATTTTAGCTTTTTAAACTTTTCGAGTTTGTAGGAGGATTAAATGGGCTAAACATTTGCTTTTCAAACTAATTAAAATGTTATTAATCTAATAGAAATTTGTTAGTTTCAAAAGAGGCCAAGTTTCTAAATATATTTTATGCATAAATTGTTATAAAGCAAGAATTTTTTTAAGGAATTAAAATCTGCATTCTTCATGAAAAAAAATTTAAACTGAATTTATACTGAAATTCTCCCCTTTTAATGCGAATCTAATTTGTAAAATAAATTGATCATTATTTATTACGCGAGCTAGCAGTTGACAGTTAGTATCTCACATGGATATGCCTTTAAAAAATATTTTTCGATCATGTAATCTTCCTATTACTTGCAAGGAAGTCTTTAATTTAAAATTAAAATTTAAATCACTTCATTCGACAACATCAAAATTAAAGAAAAAACTATTTGCTGATTTACTGTCTTGTTCATATTAATACTATAATTTATTTACCATTTTATTTGATATTTTGATGTAATTACATTGTATTGACCTTCATTCCCTTGTAGTAAGGTGGTGCAGCGACAGCATCGTCGTTGGAAATGCAGAGATCGAAATCGAATATGCCAAAGCAGGGAGGAACGCAGTGAGGAGCCAATGACTTTGAAAGCTCGGCGTAATGAATATCGGTACGCAAATAACCGGAAGAGAATTCTTACCAACCATAAGGAAGAGGAGAGTGTTGAAGTCATTCACAGTGAAACTACTCCACCACCCTCTTCAGACACTATTACCCTAAAGAAATCCGAGGAGAATTCGTACCTTAATAAGGAGGAAATCAATCCAATTAAAAATACTTCCTATTCCTCTAAAGGAAATTAGATTTGTTGTATATAGTTGAGCTTTAACAATAATATTTTCAAATTTAAAAACTATCTTTTGTTTCAGTCACAGAAGGTGAGTTAAAAATGTGAGCAAAACTCACAGCCAAATTTTTAATAATTATTATACCATAATTAGTTTATTTAACAGGTGCCAAAAGCGCATGAATGCAAAATGCTATTTGCGAAACCCTCTAATTTGGCTATAAAGCAATTTGATTTTATAGACAAGTAGATTATGTGTACGGATGAAGTTTCGTAAATGCTGAGAATAATCCTAACGTAACTGGACAAAGTTATCTCATATGCGATCGAACAGTCGAACCTGCGGCTATGCTACTGAACATAATAGGTTAAGATTGCAGAGACTTTTCAGCCAATCAAAAATCGACAGTTACTTCTTGCTCAGCATGGCCAAAACAGCATTTAATGACCAAACATGCCAGTGTCCCCACCGCTCAGATTAGTACTATTCACACCACAAATTCTGTTCCTCCAAGAGTATTGTGGTGACCTTGGTAATTTCGGAGATTATTCATTGGAGAGGACTTTATCATAGATTGAGGAGGTTCCTTTCAGATTTATTTGTGCAACAAATAAAATTAATCAAATAAACTTACATAGCTTTGAGAATGTTTTATTGCAATCATTATTAAAACACCATTCGCTCAGCACTTTCTTTTGGGTTGCTTCGTTAAGTTATAATTTTTTTTTATTTCTCGGCTGTTAAAGAACTACGTAAATTAGGTTCAGCGAACTGTTTTAAGATTAAAAAACTTAATATTAAACTGGAGATACCTTGGACAAATTTTGACGTGAATATACTCTTCCTAGTATTAGTAAAAACAATGAGGAAATTAATCGGATGAAATCTTCAGAATTTAGGTTTCAAATGCGCTATTGGAATTAACTCCACTTGACTTTTTGAATATTTGTTTTGACACTGCTATTTTTCCCACTAATATACAAAATTGTAAGTTTTGATGATAAAAAAAACTGATGACAACACACCGCTAAACAATGGTGAACTCCATCAAACAAGTTATTCATTTTCAGCTAATAGAATCGAATCCAAACTTCGAGCAACATAAACATAGGAAATTGTCTCACTTCATTTGTTCAGCAGACTCGATTTGAGTAGCAGTGTGTAAATGGGAACTTAACATTTAAGAAAATGAAGCTTTCCTATTCGTTTTCTACTTTTCAGTAAATGACCATCTATAATGAGCAGTTCATAATTACTGTTATTATTTAAACAAGAAGAGCAGACCTTTTCATTTAAGTTCGGTTTTGCCTTCAACAGTTGGGAAGCCTAATGAATTAAAAAAAAGATATTTAGCAATTTTAAATCCAGCATGCCAAAGATGCTATAGACAAACATTCAAAGTTATCATAACTTTCTAAGCTACATTTCTTCAGCTTTAAAGTAACGATTTATCCGAAAATTATTCGAATCTAAGTGTAGTTGATAAATTTTAGGAACCATTTGTTCAAATAAAAAAAGAGTTTAATACATTCGTGGCGGATGTAATAGCAAGGACCTTAACGTTGCAAGTGGAAACCCGTTAGAGAAAATAAACTACAAATGCCTATCTCGACAGAGGCATTCATCTCAGCTTTTCATTTTCATGGCTCTTTAGTTTTGAAATTCAAAAGTCAGGCTTGCGGCAGAGCAGAGAAAATTTATAATCTTTACCCTTGCTACTTTTGAACAAAGTCCTAAAATCAAAACTAGTTTAATGAACGTCCAAGACATCTTAAAACGGGTCAAAGTCCTACTTGTTACTAATTAACTCTGATTGAATGTTTAGGGCTTACGTCGCTGCTCCATTCCAAATTGAGGAATAGCATTTTTTGATTGCAACCATCTTCAACAGATGTTTTATAATAAGTCTGTATCTCCGACCAAATATTAGGTGGGCAACTAAGTCATTGCCGATTTCAAATAAGAAGGCAAATTTGGAATTTTTGTTTAAAAATATAACTTTATTCAATTAGATATTGGCCGTTCTTGTCGATCACCTTTTTCCATCGCTCTGGCAGAGTAAAAATTCCCCGTTCGTAAAATGTCTGGTCTTTGCTATTAAAAAACTGAATTAGGTGTGTTCCGACATCATCCGCGTTGTTAAAAATTTTACCATTTAAAGAGTTGTGCATGGAACGAAACAAATGGTAATCCGAAGGCGCAAGGTCAGGGCTATATGGTGGGTGTGACAAAACATCCCAACTCAGTTCCAATAATTTTTGCCGAGTAACCAAAGATGTGTGGGGGGGGGGCCTTGCGTTATCATGATGGAAAACAACACCCTTCCGCCGATTTGATAATGCCGGCCGCTTATCTTCAATTGCATCCTTCAGTTTTTCGAGTTCTTCAACATACACATTTGAATTTATCGTTTGGTTCTGCGGCATGACTTCAAAATACAAAATTCCTTTGTGATCCCCCCCCCCAGACTGACAGCATAATCTTTTTTGGTGAATCTCTGCTTTTCATACTGTTTGGGCTGGTTGATCTTGCTTCACCCATGATCTCTTGCCAGTAACATTGTTATAAACTATCCACTTTTCGTCGCCAGTAACTAGGTTCTTCAGAAATGGATCATTCTCATTGCGTTTCAGTAGCGGCGAATCACAGATGCTAATCCGTTGCGTCAAATGAATTTCCTTTAACTGGTGAGGGATCCATAAATCAAGTTTCTTGACATAACCAAGGGTTTTTAATTTTTTTTTCAATGCATGTATGCGACACATTGAGCTTCTCTGCAATATCTCGTGTTGTGCTGTGACGATTTGAATCGATAATGGCCTTGATATGGGTTTCATCCACTTCGACTGGGCGGCCAGATCGTTGTGAATTTTTCAGTGAAAAAGCACCGGAACGAAATCTTTCAAACCAATTTCGACACTGCCTTTCTTTAAAGGCGGCTTCATCTCCATATACGGCACATAACTTCTTTTGTGCTTGCGATGCGTTCTTGCCTTTTCGGAAGTAAAACAATAAAATGTGTCGGAAGTGCACGTCCTGTTCTTTCATTTTTCAATTTTGATAAAAACAAAACTAAAGAACTAAACAAAAAAAATTTTTACTAATTAACTTAGAAGACCATACAGTAAGAAACAAATATAGGTTAGATGCTCTGGCCACGTTAACAGAACAAAAGAAAGTATAGAGTGAATCCGTCAACGAAAACGGCAATGACTTAGTGGCCAAACCAATAAAAACCCACGAATTTGCAGCTAAGCGACCGTATTATGTAGTTGGATAGAAGCTCCATGAGCTTACTACATCAGCCAAAAAAATTTTACTGCACAACGCGTAAATGTTAAGCTTTTAATTCTAGAAAAGTAAACGGACTTTATCTGAAAAATCGCGCAAATTTTTTGCTAAAATTTTCTTATTCAAATTTATTAATTAATGTGTGAGGATTTAATTGTCTGATGAGGTGCTGAAGATTTAATTTGTATTTTTAATTAGTTTTTTTTTGTATATATATCAAACAAATCAAAATAGCACTGTAAAAAAGCATTCAATTTCTAAATCGAGTTGTCAATTTTTAATAATGCCTTTCAGCTGTTTTTCAATAATCAAAATGAATAATATATTATATAACAATATTTATAATTTAATTTCAATATGGAGAATTATAATTCAATTGTTTTCAAATAAAAGGGTAAATCATCTCTATTAAAAGCCGCATACTTTCTAATTTAAATTAAAAAATTTAAATGCTTAGACATTTATTTCATGAATTTTTATTAATAAATTGGTAACACTTGACATTAGATATTTTTAATTTATATTAACCTAATAAATTAAATTAAATTTTAATTAAATCACAGGGATAAAAATTGTGAAACAGGTAAAAACCCGAAAAACCGTACTATTTATTGCTCCGAATTGCAATCAAAAACTTGCCCATGTAATTGGAATGCAATTATTTTGTCCTCAAGATAAAACTAACTGACACGTGTTAGCAACGTCAAATACATACACATATAAATAAGCACATTTATTGCCAAAAAGAAATATATTCAAAATTTTAATTATGTATTGTTTGCACCGAATTTAAATTTTAAATTTAATTATTTCAATCCGTTCCTCCAAATGGCATTTTGGATAGCAGCAGTCTTAAAACAAGCAAATGAATATTTAATTTTTTAACTAAAGTTAACATCAGTGTCATAAAGTGCATCTTAAAAAGGATTGATAACATCCTCATCCGGACATAAACTATTTGTTCCCTAATTAGAATAAAAATAACCTCAAATCTTTGAGCTTACCCGAGAGACGTTTAGTTTTAACTTAGCAATTACCATTAAGGTAGATAAATAAACTTAATTGGTTTTCACATAAGGATTCGTTTTATAATTAATCCTATTATTAGAATTAGGGAATTTCGTTATTTGTCTGCATTAATATGAAAAGAAGCTAACAAAAACTGAATTCTTCTCTACAAAAGACGAAGACAAAGTCTTGACAATTAAGGACGGAGAAATCTGATTTATCAATTTTAATGTTTAGTTAAGGTTTCCGAAATCCATAGCTCAAATTAGGGTTAAAATTTTACATCAATTATAGAAGTTCAAAAAATTTGAAATTCATGACATTGAAATACATAAACTTGGAAAAAAATTATTGAATATTTCCTACGCAAAGTCTATGTGTGTTCGGCTTTAATCATGACAGGTTCTTTAATCGGCTTACCTAATTTAAAGGCGTAATTTTATGCAAGCATGACTTTGATAATCTTAAATTTATGGTCTATTGCCGCGTTTAAAAGGGCCAAATTTATCTTTGATTTTGCTCAATTAGAGGCTGTTTCCCGGTTCTTTATTTTTCTGTCAAATTAATCAACATTCATAAAAATACCAAATATTTAGAATAATATATCTATCGAGAATTTCTCATATAAGAATACAATAATATATAAACAAGTAAGTAAATATATTTCTTCTTGTTCCATTTGCACGAGTCATTTTTAAACTTTTGTTCGAAAAATA